ACAATGTTACTAGGTGGCACGCTGCAGGTTAATTACTTGAAACTCATAACTAGAGCATTGCAAACAAAATTTAAAACTATCAGAGGTAACATTAAAAACTGTTAAGGGTAGTATTTAATGTTTTTTAAGTGTCTGATTTTTGAGGTCTAGGTGAAATCACAGGTGAGTTGTTATACCTAAGGTTTCTAGCTGGTACAGAGGGTTGTTACCCATTGAATACTGGCATTTGTGGAAATATATGCATCTCCCCCTCTCTGTTTGTCAAAGGTACACTTTACCTGTGTTAGTACGTCTGGTTATGGTGAGTTGGTGATAGCAGTGACAGACTTGGAATATTTAGAAACTTGCTATTAATTTCAACAGGAGTTGGTATGAACGATTTAGCTATGCAAACTATGAAAAGTAGTAGTTAGTGGTTTTTGGTTTGAAAATTATTTTATAGGCATTGTAAACAAGTGACAAGAGTCAAGTACTGAGTTAGAAAACTCTGCAACTGAAACTTGTTAATTTAAAGCTGCGAAGTTTATGGAGACTTTTAGGTTATTATACTTTAAGGACAGCATGTTTAACAGAAGAGTTTAAGCATTTTTAGTGTTTTGCTTTAAGATGAGAGAGGGTTAGGGTTTTTATGTCACTGGAAACCTTTTCTATACTAAGAAAGTGGTTACAGGATCACAGAATCACTAGGTTGGAAGAGACCTTCAAGATCATCAAGTCCAACCCAGCCCAAACGCCTCAAATAAACCATGGCACCGAGTGCCACATCCAGTCTTTTTTTAAACACTTCCAGGGATAGTGACTCCACCACCTCCCCGGGCAGACCATTCCAGTACTTTATCACCCTTTCTGTAAAAAACTTTTTCCTACTATCCAACCTAAATTTCCCTTGGCACAGCTTGAGACTGTGTCCTCTCATTCTGTCAGTTGCAGCCTGGAGAAAGAGACCGACCCCCACCTGACTACAACCACCTTTCAGGAAGTTGTAGAGAGTGATAAGGTCACCTCTGAGTCTCCTTTTCTCCAGGCTAAACAACCTCAGCTCCCTCAGTCGTTCCTCATAGGGCTTCTGTTCCAAGCCCCTCACCAACCTCATAGCCCTCCTCTGGTTGTGCTCAAGCATCTCAAAATCCTTCCGAAACTGAGGGGCCCAGAAGTGGACGCAATACTCAAGGTGCGGCCTCACCAGTGCCAAGTACAGGGGGAGAATGACCTCCCTGCTCCTGCTGGCCACACTATTCCCGATACAGGCCAGGATGCCATTGGCCTTCTTGGCCACCAGGGCACAATGCTGTCAACCAGTACCCCCAGGTCCCTTTCTGCCTGGGCACTGTCCAGCCACACCGTCCCCAGCCTATAACGCTGCAGGGGGTTATTGTGGCCAAAATGCAGGACTCGCCACTTGGACTTATTAAATGTCATCTTATTGGATTCCATCCATCCATCCATCCATCCAACCATTCCAGATCTCTCTGCAGAGCCCTCCTACCTTCCAACAGATTGACACATGCTCCCAGCTTAGTGTTGTCTGCAAATTTACTAATGAAAGACTCAATGCCCTCATCTATGTCATCAATAAAAATATTAAACAGAACTGGCCCCAGCACAGACCCCTGATGGACACCACTGGTGACTGGCCACCAGCTGGATGCAGCACTGTTCACCATCACTCTTTGGGCCCAGCCATCCAGACAGTTCTTAACCCAGCAAACAGTGCTTCTGTCCAAGCTGTGGGCTGCCAGCTTTTCCAGGAGAATGCTGTGGGAGACCATGTCAAAGGCCTTGCTGAAGTCCAAATAGACAACACCCACAGCCTTTCCTGCATCCACCAGGTGGGTCACCTGGTCATAAAAGGAGACCAGGTTGGTCAAACATGACCTACCCCTCCTAAACCCATGCTGGCTGGGTCTGATACCCTGGCCATCCTGTAAGTGCTGCGTGATGACACTCAATATAAACTGTTCCATTACCTTACTGGGTACTGAGGTCAGGCTAACTGGCCTATAATTACCAGGATCCTCCTTCCCACCCTTTTTGTGAATGGGTGTCACATTGGCCAGCTTCCAGTCATCTGGAACCTCACCACTGAGCCAGGACTGTTGGTAAATGATGGAGAGCAGCTTTGCAAGCTCATCTGCCAACTCCTTCATCACCCTGGGATGGATCCCATCTGGTCCCATAGATTTATGAACATCCAAGCGGCTCAGCAGTTCTCTAACTGCCTCCTCCTAGATAATGGGGGGACCATTCTGTTCCCTGGCACCATCAACCAACCCAAGAGGACAGTTGTTCTGGGGACAAGCCGTCTTCCCACTAAAGACTGAGGCAAAGAAGGCGTTAAGCACTTCTGCCTTCTCCGCATCTGCAGTTACCAAGTTCCCTCCCTCATCCAGTAGAGAACAAAGGTTGGTCTTACCCTTCTTTTTACCAATAATATATTTGTAAAAACATTTTTTATTATCCTTTACCAATTTGCCAAATTAAGTTTGAACTGAGCTTTGGCCTCCCTGATTTTTTTCTACATGCTCTAGCAACCCCCTTAAATACTTCCTGGGAGACCTGACCCTCCTTCCAAAGATGATACATCCACTTTTTATTCTTAAGTTCCTTCAAAACCTCATTGCCCATCCAGGCGGGATGTTGGCCCCATCGACTCATCTTTCGGCATACAGGGACAGTCTGTTCCTGTGCCCTCAACATCTCTGATTTGAAGCACGCCCACCTTTCCTGAACTCCTTTGTTTTTAAGGGCTGCTTCCCAAGGAAGTCTCTGAATATGTCTCCTAAGTAGGCCAAAGTCTGCCCTCTGGAAGTCCAGTGTAAGAGTCTTATAGGTGTTCCTCCTCATTTCACCAGATATCGAGAGCTCTATAATTTCATGATCACTCTGCCCCAAGCAGCCTCCAACCGCCATATCTCCCACCAGCCCATTTCTATTTGAAAACAACAGGTCTAACATAGTCCCTCCCCTGGTGGGCCCACCCACTAGCTGCGATAAAAAGTTGTCCTCCGTACACTCTAAAAATTTACTGGACTGCCTCTTTTCTGCTGTTTTAAGTTCCCAGCAGATGTCTGGTAGGTTGAAGTCACCTACAAGAACATGGGCTGGTGATCCTGAAACATTCTCCAGCTGCTTGTAGAGTAAGTTGTCCACCTCTTCGTCCTGGTTGGGTGGACGATAACTGACTCCCAGTAGGATATCAGCCTTCTTGGTCTTCCCCTTAATTCTTACCCATAGGCATTCAACTCCATAAGTTTCAATACCTATGGCATCAAAAGCCTCCTTAATATAAAGGGCCACCCCTCCACCTCTTCTCCCTTTCCTGTCTCTTCTGAAGAGCTTCTAGCCTTCCGGTGCAGTGCTCCAACTATGTGAGTCATTCCACCATGTTTCTGTGATGGCGACTACATCATAGTTCTGCTGTTGCACCATGGCCTCCGGCTCTTCTTGTTTGTTACCCATGCTGCATGCATTGGTATACATGCACCTCAGCTGGGCTACTGATTTCTCTCCTAACTCAGGCTTACCACCCTTGGGCTTGCTTCCAGACAGCCCAGATGCATCCCCTTCCCCCTTCAGACCTAGTTTAAAGCCCTCTCAACAAGGTCTGCCAGTTCATGAGCTAAAAACCTTCTGCCCTTAACAGAGAGATGTACCCCATCTGGTTCCAGTAGCCCAGGTGCCGTAAAAGTTGCCCCATGGTCAAAGAATCCAAAATTTTGCCGATGACACCAACCCTCGAGCCAGCAGTTAATGATGTGAGTTCTCCTATTTCTTTCATCATTTTTCTCTGCCACGAAAGGGACTGAGCGGAACACTACCTGGGCCCCTGTCCTATTGACCACTTGACCCAGTGCCCTAAAGTCCCTTTTAATCGCCTTGACACTCCTCTTTTCAATCTCATCACTGCCAGCCTGGAGTATCAGCAGTGGGTAATAATCAGAGGGCTGAATCAGGCCAGGAAGTCTCTTAGTGATATTTCATACCCGAGCCCCAGGGAGGCAGCAGACCTCCCTGTGGGATGGGTCTGGTCAACATATGGGGCCCTCTGTTCCCCTCAGAAGGGAATCACCCACTATGATTACCCTTCTTTTCTTCTTGATGTTAGAGGTAGTGATCCATCTTACAGATGAGTCATAATTGGGAGACTCACTGGGCAGATAATTTTCTTCTAAATCATCTGACTGGCTCTCTAGATCCAGGGCCTCATACCTCTTCTGAAGTGGCACCTGGCATGGGGATGGGGGTCAGGAGGAATTTTTATTATTACCTCCCTGAGCAGGGACCCATTTCCACTCCCCTTCATCTACCAGGTGCCCTTCTATTTCCTGAGAGTGAGATGCATATGAGTCCTCTGACTCTTGGTGGGCCTCCCTTAAAGATGTAAGGGCTGAACTCCACCAGTCTATTTCCTTTTCACTTTCCCTGATACTCCTTAAGCTTTCAACTTCCTCCCTAAGCTCGGTTACCAGCGAAAGGAGGTCATTCACCTGTTCACACTGTAGGCAGGCCTCCTCCACAACATCCCCCGAAACCACCGATAAGCTCAAACACTCCAGGCAGGAATAGGTCTGTACAGACACATCCTTTTTGGAGGGCTCCACTTGGTCACATACACTTGTACCAGCCACAGTTTTCGACCGTGTTAAAACCATTACTAGCAGAAAGCCCAAAATCAAGCAGCCAACAGAAACACCTCAAACAACACACAGCACACCTTATTAGCAAGAAAAGCTGCAACCCTTCCTGCTTGCCCTACCTGCGCGAACTGCTGCGCAAACTGCTATGACCACGCCCCAGAACCGTGCCACACCCCTGTTTGCCCACTCCTGTTTGCTGTGCTTCCCAGAGGCCTCTTATAATCAGTCACTCAGGAACAAAAGAAGCTCCTCCTCCCATTCCTGAATGGTTCTCAATGCAAGCAACTCCAAGAAAGTTACCTGTCCAGCTAGGTTTTAGTGTTAGTTTACGAGGGTCCTATGAAAAACACGTTCACTCTCCTGTGAAAATTTTAAAAGTTTAATAAAGGACAATAGGAGACAAGGACTATAGAGCAAAGGTTATTATGGCCGGGTGCATCTTGGCACTGAGCCAAGACCATGCCGTCACCTTAGGGGATACCCCTTAAATACCTTTTCCATTACACAATCCTGTTGCATATTCATAGACCCTTATGCATATGCAAAAACTAGTTTACATTTTCCAGGAACTATTTTACATGGCCCATCCTTGGGTCTGCCTTTTTAGAGCATGCGTGTTTCTTGGCTGTGGTTTTGGCTCTTCCTTATCACTTCCAGTTTGGGCCTTGGTCCACACTGTCTTCAGACGGCGAGTGCTGATAGTTGGCATATCTGTAGCAGGTGTCCTCATCCTGTGTTCATTGAATGTTATCCCATCAAAGCAGGCATTTTAACACAAGCATAGCTATTTCACTACCATGTCTTAGCTTAAGCAACAGCAGAAATACAAACTATATCTTTATAACAAAGTTACTTTAACACCACACATATAAAATCCATTTTAATATCTGTGAAAAGCCAATATTATAATATGTATCTATAACAGTCCGCAGGAGATGGAGCTTGGGCTGTTGCAGGAGCGGCGGGAGAGGCACGCATCGGGGCCACCCTCGGGGCACCGCGCCCCCACGTCTCCTCCCCCTGCCCTCACCACTGCTTTCAGCCCGTATGGGCTTTTCCCATGCCCTGATCCCTGTCCCCAGGGTAGGAGAAGGGCACTTTGGAGACCCCCCTCCCCCCAGGGTGGGTGGCGACTTTCGGTGCAGTCAGGGTTGGTTCAGGGCGTTGTGTTAGGCTCTGGGGTTTTTGGGTCACTGCTGGGAGTGAGTGCTGGTGCTGGGGCTGCTGGTGCCTCTGGACCTGCTGAGAAAGTGGCTCACCGCTCGCCATTGTCCTGCAGCGTGGCCATGTGGTCGCAGCCATGCGCTTGGTACTGAGCTCTCGCCGCAGCGGTTACGCAGGTTCCGTCTATTGCCGCTTTTGCTGCCGTCTCACTCTGCTTTGCAGCTTCCCGCGGCTTTGTACAGTCCCTCCCCCCCGTCGCCTCTGTCGCTGCTGCTCCGCTTTCACAGAGGGCAGGCAAAGGGGGAAAAACAGCGTTAGGAGGGGCTCTCCTGCATTGGGGGACCAGGGGCCACCCTCTGGCCTTCCTCCCCTAGTCCCGGCAAACTCACGGTTGTCCACTGATCGTGCAGAAGGCATCCACACGGCCAGCGCTGTGGTTGCCAGGCGACAGGGTTTTCCAGTGGTGGGGCTGCCGGCTTCTCTTCCGGTTTCTGGTGCTGTGATGATGCTTCTGGGGTCTGGTGGATGCACGGGGTGGATTCCTGGATGCCATGACAGAGGCAATTCTGGCTGCTGCCTCCACGTGTTTAGCGTGGTATCTCTTTTCCCATGGGATGCTGTCTGTGCTCTGCTATTTTGAGATGATTTGTCTGGCAGGTCCTGCGTCACGTGGCGACGGCCATCTTGGGTGATCTGCGTTCAAAGCGCATGGCGTTTGCCATGTTGGGGTTTTTCTGCGGGCTGTGTCCACAGCGCATTACTGGTGGTACGGGGCGTGGAGCCTAAAGATGGCTTTTTCAGCCGTGGTATGGGCACCATCTCTCCTGCTGTTTCTGCATCCCGTTCGGCTTCTAAGTGCCCCAGACAGTTTGAGATAAACATTAGGAGTTTTAAAATGTCCATAGTGGCTTTCAGAGCTTATTGTTCATACTTTACTCCTCATTGAAGTTAGAGAAAAGTTCATATCTTAATGACTTGTTGTTCTTTTATAGAGATAAATCTGCCTGTTTCTTTGGTGGGGTTTTCCTTCTATTTTTCAGCTTTTTTGTTTCTTTGGCTCTTACACCATCTGGATTTCTAGCTTTACCAGCTTTTCTGTCTTTTGTTTCACACAGCTCTTTAGCTGTCCTTTTCTCACAGTTCTGGCTGTCGCTAGCTCTGGTTGCATTTTCTCACAGCTCTCAGCTGTGGCTCTCTGCTGTTTTGTCTTGTTCCTTTTCTCATGGCTTAGTTCCTTTCCTCTCATGGGGTCACCAATTGTCGAAGTGTGTGGGGATGGAGAGATGACACACATCGGGGTTTTCATGAAGCAGAGAGACTTTATTGGTGTACATAGCCCCTTTTATAGGCTATCCTAAAGACTCTGTGTTCGAGTCTGATTGGTTACCACCCAGCTATTGACCAATAGCTACCTGCTTGCGTTCATATCTGGGACTGGCTCTGTAGCCAACCCCCTCCTCCTCTTATGAGGCATACAGTCCATCTTATGCTGTAATACCCTGGAGGATGTTATCAGGGATAAGTCATGGAAGAAATAAAGAACACTGCCCCACCTGTTTTTAACAGCTTATGAAGATGGTGATAGAATACATACTTTTGGTTACATCTTACATTGTAACCTAAGACAATCTTGCTCTCAAGGTGAGATGTTTATTGTTAGGTCAGGATCTCACCTTCCTGGATAACTCCAGAGATAACTTGCTACCAGACAGATGTCTGGCCTAGGTTATCTCACCAATTCATATGAGGGGGAAAATGCCCTGAGTTATGCACCAGCTGATAGAACAGATAAGCTCTTCTGTGGCAGACTGCAAGTCCCTCTACAGAGAGCATCCAGAGGAGAGCTGTGAAGATGGTGAAGGGCCTTGAGGGGAAACTGAGGAGTGGCCAAGGTCACTTGGTCTGTTCAGCCTGGAGGAGACTGAGGGGAGACCTCATTGCAGTCTACAACTTCCTTGTGAGGGGAAGAAGAAGGGCAGACACTGATCTCTTCTCTCTGGTGCCCAGTGACAGGACCTGAGGGAATGGCCTGAAGTTGTGTCAGGGAAGGTTTAGGTTGGATATTAGAAAAAGGTTCTTCCCCCACATGGTGGTTGGTCATTGGAACAGGCTCCCTAGGGAAGTGGTCACAGCACCAATCCTGACAGACTTCAAGAAGCGTTTGGACAATACTCTCAGGCACATGGTGGGATTCTTGAGGCTGTCCTGTGCCAAACCAGAAGTTGGATTTGATGATCCTTGTGGGTTCCTTCCAACTCAGGGAATTATTCTATGATTCTATGAATTCCAAATTAATGGGATGTTCCTCATTTTAACAGCTTCTTATCCTTTTGGAGCCTTTGACTGCCTTGTCAATTGTGAAGGAACACAAACAGTACCTTAACTGCCATCTGAGTATGAAAATGGGTCAGTGTCATGAGTGGAGTGGAAGCTTCAGACAAAGTTTATTAAAGAAACCCTGCCACTGAGTCACAACGTGCCAAGAAGACCCCCCTTGCTTTCAAAACTCCTTAGACAGAGGAGCCTGAGCATGGCATCTTAGCCTCAGACTATCAACAGTTTGGGTTTTGCAACTTTTTCCTGCTAGTTCTAATGATGGCAAATCAGATATATTTGTATAAAAATTATTAATTATTAAGACAAATGAACAGACAAAAGATAACTGATGAAAGATCTTAATCAGAATTACTGCACAGTATAAAACTAAAAGAACTACTAGTAGATTATAGTATAACATAAAATAGTGCACTATATCAAAGTACCTATATTAAAGCTAGCAAAATAAATAGTATGGATTAGGAGTTGAACATAACTTACCACTGAAATGACAGTAATGTAAACAGATTCCTTCACTTGATCCCTTGGAAAGTAACCATGAAATAGGTGTCCCCACTCATGGGAGAAACTCCATCCATTTCCAGGAAAATGTATAGAACATTTCTGCTTTGTTGAAGTTTGGTGTGGCTTTTACAGTTGTAAAGTGAGTGTCTGTCGCTGTCGAGGCGATCACGACATAAAGCAGAGACCACAAGCAGTCTCAGTTGGCAACACTTTATTATTGAACATGGCTGATTTTTATACACTTTCCAATTGTTTATGCTTCTTCTATCTTTACTATTGGCCACAATAAATCAACATAATACTATTGGTGAGAAGTTATGGTGACTTAACTAACTTTCTAAAAATGCTTCATCCAGCTGCAAAGTTCTTCTATCTTTCTTCTCTCTGTCTCCTTGGTTACAGCCTTGGAGAGAGCTCCTTATCAGTTTCTTCTTACTTCTCAGCTTCTTCTCGCTCCTTTAGCTAACAGGCCCGCTGTTAGCCCCTTCTACAAGTGTCTGTCAGCCAGAAATTCAACTTGTCTTGTCAAATCTCACTTCAAAAGTAAGATGCTTATCGGCAGTTGGGAGATGCCAGACCAGTGTTAACCCCATGGTGCCAAAATAACTCACTACAAGACAGCTTGTCCTGTTCGAGTTATCTGCCTGGTTAACAATCAATAGATAAGCTCATGTGGATAGTGAGATGCCTTGCTACAGTCAGATAAAAATGGTGAGTCACAGCTCACTGAACAAGAGGTTAGTCACTGAACACCATCTTAGTGATGCCACTCATGTCTCTTTGGATCTGCATCACTCAAAGCAAAGTTACAAATGAGTGTTAGAGGAATGCTTCAGATTTTTATACACAGCTGGAAACCTTACTTGTAATTCCAAAAACTTAGACTGGAGATCCAAGAAAGTGAGTGCAATTTATATTGTGTGTTTTCTAATACTTCTTCACGGCAGCTCAAGGAAAGCAAACCTGTAGTCTGGCTGCTTGGAGGTGGTTGAGCTTTAAGTAATTCTGCCTTATGAGTTTGCAGGATGCCTGAAGAAAGAGTTTAATCCTAAAATACTTTTTAAATACCACCTGAGTGACAAATATAAAGAACAGATGGAGGACCACAAAATAAGTCTGAGGCTTCTCATTGGAGTGATCACAAATCAGACAGCTAATTAAGTTATAGTGCCTTGTTTCAGAAATCAGACTTGCTATGCTAAATAATCTTGAGCTATTTCACTGTTTTGGTTCAAGTGGATTGTCTAGACTTTAGGCCACTTTGCCCTTGTGACCACTAGTGTATAATTGTGGCTTCCCACTTGTATGCTAATACCTGGATTTAACTTTAGCTTAACTGCTCTAAAGCTGAGCTATTTTAAAACCTGTTTTGAATATGATAAAAAAGATGGATCTTTTTAGAGACATAACAGAATACAATGTTCAGGGGAGAGCTTCAACTTCCAATTGTGTAGCGATAGTCTTGTCACAAGGAGAGCTAAAACATTGGGTGTATTGACTTCAAAATCTATTCAGTTGTTGGATTGTTGTGTGTTTGGGGTTTTCTTTAGTAGTTAGGAGCTAAAACATTAAAAAAAACCAAAACAAAACACCACCAAAAAACCAAAACTGAGGCAATGAAATCCAAACAGATTCAATGTGTGATCAAGCAACTTCCTTTTTATTGAGTCACCTGGTATAGTTTGGGCATCAGAGATAAATAGCTCCCAAATACAGAAATGTGAGTCTTAATTGAATGCATTAAGCTTGTAAGGTTTTTTTATACAATTTCTACTTTTGATCTTAGGTCCTTTCAGTTATCTTGATGATGTCCCATTTAAGATAGGAGACAAATTCAAAACCCCAGCAAAGGTTGGATTACCCATTGGTTTCAGCCTGCCTGATTCTTCTCAGCTTGTCAGAGAAGCCCAGGTAAGTGATGTGTTCTGCCTTTCTACTCTCTTCCCCCTGGTGCTGTAAACTGCAAGTAGTCACAGTTTACACGTGTTCAAATGCTAGTCTTGACGGTCCTGTAGTGTCATTTTGTATGCCAGGCAGTAGTTGCAGAACATCTGTTAGAATGTATAGAAAAATTAAAGTATGATAGGCTGTGCAAAAAGCTTCTACTTTTAAAAGAACCTAATAACATTTATTTTAGTGTATCTACTTCAAAAAAGTACAGCGTTTTTGTTGTGGAGTCCTGGTTTAAAAGACAGGTGTTTGCCAAGGAAGGTGGGAACCTTCCTGGAATGGAAAATATTGCTCCCTTCCCTCCAAATTATTATAACTTTAAAATTACATCACTTTCAGGCAAGGATATGTGAAAAGGAATAACATTTCTTTACTAGAATATATTAACAAGATAAACAACAGCAGCAACAACAAACAAAACCAGAAACCAAATAACAGCCTTCCCTCACCCATCAAGCAATTTCCTCTTTTCTATAGTTACGACCACAACCAGTAGGAGTGCTGGTGGGCCCTGGCGAAGTGACGGTTTCAGTGACTTTCTTGCAGCCAGCAGGGAACGCTACCGAGTCCTGATGAGGCAGGACAGGTGCA